TAAGTGCTGAACCAGTAAGAGGTCTGAACCATTAAGAGCTAGTATATTGCTTAACTATTCAGAGGCAAATGTCTGATCAATTCAGATAAGAGGTCTTAACCATTCAGACTCTGTATAATACTTAACCATTCAGAGGCAAATCTCTTAACCATTCAGACATCTAAACCATTAAGAGGCTGAAACAAACAGTCTGAACCATTAAGTGCTGAACCATTCAGACATCTGAACCATTAAGAGGCTGAAACAAACAGCCCCTTAGAATCTCTATGGTTGATTGGTTCTAACAGTGTATCTATTTGAAGCAAACAAGAATTTTTATTTAGATCACATTGTGCAGATTGTGGTGGAAACATGAAACTTTCCAGCCCCACCATTTCTTTGTTGGTCCAAAACCTACCTCGGAAAATTTAACACTTTTTTAAGCACTGATAAAGAAGCAAAATTCCCCTCAATTTCTAACAGCAGCAATTCATCCAATTCAAAGAAGAAGAAGAAGAAAAACCCTAATTAGTATCAATGTCATCACTCAATGGAAAACCTAAACCTAAAAAGACTAAAACCCAGTTTGTCCATCTACAAAAACAACAAACAATAGCAAAAAAACTAAAACAAACAAAAGTGCTAGAATAACACCAATTCTGACACCACCGATGACAACCGTATGTAAACTTGTAGGACACTTGACATAGTGAATTCGGTCATGCTAGGGTGCCACCACATAGGTGTTACCCTCGGTGCACCCATGTTTTGCACAAATAACACAGATGATAATCATCTATGTGAGACAGATAATAATCATTGCGAACCATGTGGTAGCACCCTAACATTTTCCAAGTGAATTTTTTGCATCTTATGTACGAACAAATTTATAGACGATTGTAATTCGTGGTGTCAATATTGGAGTCATTCTAACATGGCCCAAGAAAAGGCACACAAAAAAAAGAAACAAACATTAATGGGAGTAGCATCATCAGCTCCCCGGAAAGAAGCTTCAATGGCCGTCGTCGTCGTCTCTCCGGCCGGAGGAGGGAGCGCCGGAGAGGGAGGCTAGCAAATTAAGGTGCCCTTGTGCAATGGGCAAGTAATTCCCAACCCTAGCCGCCGACGCTTCCCCTAATTGCTGCTGGAAAAATCGAGTCGCCTGGGAATTCAATACGGCCGCCGCCTGCGACGGCACCACCATCTCGTGAGGGGCAGCGAAGCTCCAGACCTGCCCGAAGTCCGGCCTGCCCGGGAACGCCCAAAATCCGGCGGCGGGGCCGACGACGGTTGCGGCGGCCGAGACCTCGTCCTTGTTCCCTCTGCCGCCGTCGTCCAGGCCTTCCTCCTCGACCCGCAGCCGCTTCCCGAGAAGGAACGGCGCCGGAGCGACCGGCTTCTGGTCGAACGAAGCCAATAGAGACGTCCCGAGAGAGGGAGAGCTCCTGGAAGACGGAGAAATCGTGGAGAAGCTAGCGGGGATTGTCCCGGTGCCGGTGGCGGCAATAATCGACGGCTCCGCCTGGCGGAGGAGCCACTCAATCGTCTGGCCGTCGGACTTGTGGCCGAGCTCGCGGGTAAGCTGGAAAACCCTAGCGGCGCAAACGATCGGCATCCTAATTCGCCTCCCGCGGCCGTCGACCTTGCTATGCCGGTCCTTAGCCGGCGGCTTCTTGACAACTAAAGACCCATTACCGGAACCCACCTGCTGCTGCTGCTGTTGCTGGTGGTGGTGTGGGTCGATTAGGGTTCCGTTG